GCGGCCTCCTTGTCCGGCATGAATTTCACTAGAAAAAGGCGGGGTGTTAACGGGTGGGAGGAGCTAACGCTACAAGGGGCGGGGACCAATCGGATTTGTGTGTGTTAAATCTGTCTGTCTTTCATGGATGATGTATGAGAAATCGTGCACTGTTGTCAAGTGTTGAAATGTCAAAATGTAACGACATGCTTAGATCTGATTGGTTACCTTATCATCCGGCGAAGGAGGCTTTGGTGATGGAAAAAACGCCGGCGATTGGGTGCCATATTATTTATTTCGGTCTCATACAGTATCGAACCAATCGGCACAAGCGAAACTATTTACATTCAATTGTGATTGGTCGAGCAATGAAACGGGGGTTTATACATCATTTTTTTGGCTCATTGCTCGGCCGCGATTGGTTAGTATTCTACAAAACATCAAAAACCAAACTTACACTGAAAAAGTTAACCTAGTACAACGCAATCGGGTCAATTTTTATTAAGTTGACAGCACTGAATTAACAATTACACTTGATTACACTAGTTTCAATTTTATTTTATTCCTAGAACCTCCATTTTATCAACGATTTCGTATGTTAGGTTTGTTTGGTGTATTTTAATGCCAATTTTGCATACTGGAAAAAACCAAACAGTTAAATCAGTTGCAAATGCCCCACACAGGCATACCAACCATGCAACATGCAAGTCACCAGTGACTCTAGCTCGAAATGCGTGAAAAATGAAATCGGAAAAAATTAAATGATTGAGGGGGTGGGGGGAAGGGGACACTGAGGACCTTTCTACGACAGAAAGACAGACAGAAGCCACTTTACACCAAAACACAAATTTCGTATTAATTACCGAATTTCGTAGCGACAGGTTACATGAAGTTCACTATGGAAAAAACAATTTTTTTTGAATCAAGTCTCGACGAGAGAGAAAAAGATAAAAGAAAAAGTGTTTACTTACTGATGATAATAATTAATATGACCAAACCGATAATTCCCATGATTATCATCATCTGCAGGAAGAAAAGTCGTCATTACTTACGCACTGACGCCATGTTGAATTTTACTTACCTTGAGATTTTGCAGCCAAAATTTTCGTTTGAGTTTACCGGCCTGCTGCTCAAACTGAGACGCCCCTTGTTGCAACGCATCTGAAACGACAACGCTTAGCTCGGATTCGCATCACAAAAAATAATTGTGGTTAAAAAATTTCGAACAGACCTGGTATAACAGCAAAAGATGGGTCAAGATATGAAAAATCAAAGGTGATACTACTGAAACCGAAATTGTGTTTAATGTGTTTTAACAAATTTATTATCAAAAATTTTTAGTTCAAACTTTTAGAAATTAATTTACAAAAAGTGGGTCTACATTCTGTCTTTTATTTCTCCAAATTTGGACACAAAGCTTTGATGACCCCACCTTTTGTCTTTTCAAACTTGATATTATACCAGAAATACCCGAAAAGTGTTAATTTATAAGTGAAAATAAACTCCATAATTAACTCACAATTAAAAATGTGACTTTTCGCACTGCTTGCTTTGACTAATAATTTTTTAAATGGTTGAATTAAAAAAAAATATTCAGTACTTATGAATGAATCTGGAACCGGAAAACTGTGTTTCCACCAAACTTAAAGAAAGAAGGAAGAGTCCAAGTGACAAGAAGTGAAAATCGATAAATACCGCCAGGATATTAATGGTTCAAGAATGTCATTCAAAGCGGAATTCTGACTGTAATAAATTCCCGATGGACTTTTATTTATCTTTTTTTTATGTGTAGGTACAGTGGTTTCAGAGCTAACGTGGCCCTCATGCGCCGCATTAGCTTTGTCGGTGACTGTACCTAAGAAATTTTTTTGTGCCGGAAGCGCCCTAATCGTTTCCCTTTTGACATTTGGCGAATGTGTGGGTGCCCTAATCGATACTTACCGGCCCGATCGTCCAATTCGGACAATTTCTGGTCCCTTTCGAGGACCTTTTCGACGTTGGTTTTCATAATATCGACGACTTCGTCAACTTGGGCTTGCGTCTGCTGGAGGCGTCTTTGGGCGGCGACTTGTTGCGGCGTCCTCGGCCCCCCGACGATGCCGTCGTCGCCGCCCCCGGCCGCCGGAGCCCCNGCCGGAGCCCCGAGCGAGTCCCCCGCAGACCTAAACCGAAAACGCACCTTTACAACACACAGCGCGCCTGCGCCCCCCGAAAATCAATCACACATTTATGGCCCGCCTGCTCCCAAGACAGTTTTAGCCCCCTTTTCACCCAAACTGACCAATCAAGTGGACTAATTTCTCGGGGGTTTCGATAAAATCAAGTTGGCGTTTTGAATTTCAATTGGTGATTGATTTAAGTGGATTTGTTGGTTGTGTGATAAAGCGTCGCGACGCCCTTATCACAATCACAAACTCTTATCAATACTCACATTTTCTGTGTGAAATTTGTTCAAAAACGGCCACAACACTCGCACACAAGATCCACGGTTGATTTTCACTGTATTGATGTTTCGTGACGTCACACTGCCGTCTAACGCATGCGCACTACCAGTGCGCATTGTGATAGGTCAGGCACTTGTTCATTAATAAAATGTCAAAGAGTGGGGGTGAAGGCGCCAAATTCAAACACAAACTACTTCCAAATCATTTATTTCGGTTTATTGTAGTAGTTTGAAGGAACAAATGGCATTTTTGTAACAACAGCTGAGTAGATTTTATCGCGGATTTTGAGGTTATGTTTAGTTCCATTCTTACTAAGATCAGTAGGGACATACGCCATTGCGATGTTTTTCCCAAGACTTGGTGATGGACAACCGGATGTAACCGAACCGATTTCATTACCATTGGAGTCAACAATGGGGGTTCCATGTCGGGCTGGGGGGCCCCCATCCGCAATCAATCCGACCCTTTTCCGACTTGCACCATTCTTGATTTGAGAGACGATAGTCTCCGCCCCTGGAAAATCACGTGACTCGCGACGACGTTTCGCCACGAGCCACGTCAAGGCGGCTTCGATGGGCGTGGTTTCGCTGGTAAGATCGTTACCATAGAGACACATTCCGGCTTCAAGGCTGCAAAAATTGGAACGCACCCGGTATAACACCAAGGTTTGAGCTACAAAAGGTGAGAGCATTACCGTAACGAGTCCCTTGCGCCCAAACCGGCCAACTTGACCGCGCCATCCTTCATGATTTCCCTCGTGATGTCCACTTGTTTTATCGCCGGCATTGAGATTTCAAAGCCATCTTCGCCAGTATAGCCACAACGGGTGACTCTACATGCCCCACAGCCACAAACCGTGGCTTCCGTTGACGTCATGAAATACAATTTTGACAGATCGACGTCGATCATTTTTTGTAATACTTCGGCCGCTTTCGGCCCTTGCAGGGCTACCAACCCGCGTTCGCTCGGTTCGAAAAACTTCATCTTGATGTTGGAGTTGGGGTTGGATTTTTTGTGGTTGTCGAGGGCTTTGAGGAGGTGTTGTTGGTCTTGTTTTTTCATGGCGGCGTTTGAAACGACGTATAAGTGGTCGTCGGAGATTTTCGTAATGATGAGGTCGTCGAGGACGCCGCCCTTTTCGTTGGTGAACACTGTCAGGGTTGAGGTGTTGGGGGGGAGGGTTTTGAGGTCCGCGGTGCAGAGAGATTCCATGTAGGCGAGGCAGTCCGATCCTGAAAAAATCCGGTTTGAAATGTTTAGAGCGTGCCTGGTATAATAATCGCAAGGTGGATACGCGAAAGGTGCGACCATTGAAAATAAAATGCAATAAAACAAATTGTTTAATCCAAAAATGGTTGTCGTTATTTATTTATAATTCAGTATTGGTTGCGACATGTCGGGAACTTACTGCAAACATGTCATCAGAATTGGTGTCTATTACACAATTGCGTTTAATTTTGTGAGTTTAGACAATATTTTTTGATTTTTTAAGTTTTTTTTAAGGTGGGAGGTTTATCACAACTTATCAAAGGCATTTCATACTTCCTTTCAAAAAAATCGCACTCAAATTACCCAATTTTTTACATAACTGGAGGATTATTTGTGATTTTTTGTGGGATTTTGCTAATGATCGGGTCTATCAAGGTTTGTATAAAAATTTTGGTAGGTAATAATAATTATTTATATAAAAAATTTCAGGAGAATTATAAATATATTTTAATTTATTTAATATTGACCATTCCTGGCCTCTTATGTGTTACGATTTATTCAGGAATGATGATTTATCTTCCAGAATTTGTCTTTCTTTTTGTCACTTTATTGGTTTTAGTTTGGCCAATGTATTATTGTGTCTATTTATTTTACAAGAAATTACTCAAAAAACACAACTACATATTATCATTAGAAAAAGGTATGCAAATGACTAGCACGTGAACATTTTTCTAATTACAATTGTTACTAATTTATTCCAAATGACTCATTGTGTTAGCAATTAAACGATTCGCAATTAATATCTTAATTGTTAACAGGCGAAAAATTGCAATTGATTTAATAAAGAAACCAAAACTTGTCATGTTTAAAAAAATTATTAAAAGTTTTTTAGTACGTACCCGGTATAAAGTCAAGTTTAGAGAGGTAAAAAGTGACATCATAAAAGTATTTATAAATTTTGAAGTAAGAGTCGATTTATTTTGGTGTATCCCCGATATAATATTAATTCAACGAGACAAAAAGTGAGATCATTAACTCAAAGTGTCAAGGTTGTAAAAACAAAGTAATGATTTATGGATTTTTTAATTATTCAATTGTAACATTACAAATTCCTTCCATGGTGCAAACGAGAGGTGAGCTCATTTTCAACAAAATGTGTAAAGAAAAAAACCACCGTTAGATAACATAAATATTGAAATAACTTAATTAGATAAAAAAAAGATAAAAAGAGCTGCACAAAAAAGTTGTCTGCGATTAACTTTCACAATTTCACTTTAATTGACATTTGCGACAAAATAATATAATCTGATAATATTTAAAACCCCCAGCGACTCATTTAAAAATATCTCTAATCATTTGTTTACACAGTTGGCGAAATAAAATTAACCGAAATTAAAGTCAAGGCCATCTCCGTTATCTTTTGCATAATTCTGATGAAATTGTGTGACAAATGATTCGCATTTTTCCGGTGTTTTCCACTTACCGGAGATTTCCGTCTGTAGCATATGCGAGACGTCGAAAAGCGAGGCGTTTTTCCGGGTATGTAGATGCGAGGCGGCAATCCCCAAATCGCTGTATTGCACCGGGAGCATGAACCCCCCGAAATTGACCATTTTGCCCCCATTTTCCACGTGGAAATCGTACAGGGCCGTAACCTCCGCTTTTGCATCACTGGCGAAGCCCCTGCGGAGCACTCTCGTACCCCAATTCAGCACTCTCGACGACAACATGACCACTGATGAGGATTTTTATCGAGACGGCTCTGAGGTCATTCGATAATGGGAAAATAAAACAAATATTTTTGCTTTCACATAAACATACATTTATATATTGTATATGTAGTATATAATGGTATATGTGACGTCACTAATTACTTACTAAGTTTAATCAACACGAAGGTCGAGCGATAAGTAACACATTTAAGTCAACATAATTCGAAGTGAGACCAAATTTAGCACCATAAATTAAGGAAGTAAAAACACATGGGTTTCCGCCATATTTCTAATTAAAATCAATAGGACGCAGTCGTGCCAACTGTGCACTGGCAACACTGTTTAATCCGTGTTTGACAAAGCGACTTCGTCCTCCGGGAGACTAACTCTTTTAAAATCAACATCATTGACTAAATATAGCACCAAAATCCCGAAAAATGCGATAAAAAGGCCGATAAAATTCACCATGACGCCCTCTGATGGCAAATCGGCATATTTACTACCCCTAAAACCAAACACACAATTTTGGGGATTTTCACTCGACAAGGTTACTCACAGTGTCCAAATCGTCTTTTCGGTGATTCCCGCCAATGCGGTGATTACACAAAGGGTGAAAGTGGCAATTCCTGTGGCCACATGGACTGGTAAAAAGGCCGCACGAAGGGTGCGTGAAAGCCCCGGGAAGAGAAAACTCACAAACCCGAAAACAAACTAAAATATCACTAGATTCACAAGGGCGCGAACTTTGAAAAAAATTACCTGTCCGGTGAAAATAATAACTGCAACAAGTCCAAACCACGAATGCATCGTGTACAAATTGGGTTTGGGGGGCTTGGCGTAATTATGTGAATCGAAAGCGGCCTTAAGTCCAATAACGGCCAAAATAAAGGCCATAGAATGAAGAAATGCATGTGTGATTTTCAGGCGTTTTTTCAGGGTGTTTCGTCCAGTCCGATAGATCAAAATTGCTAGAAATGATAGTTTCAAGGGGGCTCCTCACTGTATTTTATGTTTACATTGGCCGTAGATGAAAATTAGGCCAGTGGTCATCAAAAGCGGGTGCCAGTTGAATTGGTACTCGGGTTCGGACCACGAGAACCCATTTCGGTACTTCACCAACCATGCCAGTACCATGACTAGCATGCCGACCCCCAGAGCCGTGGTAAAACTATACAACGAGCGGTAATTGCGCACTACCAGATGCTCATTACGGGCCTCCATTCCGCTACCGAGACAAACACCACTAAAATCAAAAATTCGGACAATACGCACCTGAGAAGACCAACAGATTGTTCCGCCGAAAGAGACTCAGAACTCATGAGATTCAACAAGTGGAAAATCAATAACCCCCTCCCAAGTCCTGTTATATGACCCGTAAACAACACAAACGCGATAAAAGTGTATCACAATGCACTAATTAGCCGGTTTTGAGTGCGTGAAAGGCTCATTTCGATTAAAAACGGTAAATTACATTTAACCTCAAATTTTTGACAATTAAAAGTGAGGTTATGTCAATTGTCAGACGTGGAGGTTTTTGACGAAATGAACGCTTTGGGGCTCAGTACGATTGTCAATTTCGGGTGCATTTGCACAAGGGAGTCGGTCGACATAAATGGGGTAAAGTACGTCGTGAAAGAACGACTGGGTGAAGGGCAAGTGGAACCTAACCTCACTTATTGCCACTTATTGATTATTGTTTGTAGGGGCTTCTCCACCGTTGATTTAATCGAGAATAAGGGCACGAAACGTAAGTATGCTCTCAAGCGGATTATGTGTCACAGTCTCGAGGACCAGAGAGTGGCAATGGAGGAAATTTCTTATTATAAAAAATTGAGACACCCCAATATCATTGAACTTGTGGATTCCACGTTCAAGGGGACGGCCGATATTGTCGTAAATGCGACATCAGAGGCCTACATAGTGTTACCCTACTACCGTCGAGGCACCTTACAAGATTACCTCACGTTACGTTCATTTAATAAACATTATTTAGACTTGAAAGAGGTGCTCCGATTATTCATTGATATCAGCCAAGCCGTCAAGTATTTACACGACTTCACCCCCGAGCCGGTGGCTCACCGCGACCTCAAAGCCGGGAATGTGTGTCTGACTGAAGACATGACCCCCGTTTTGATGGATTTGGGCTCTTGTGCCCCGGCCAAAGTCCAGGTTTGTGGTGCTCAAGACGCCCAAAAGCTACAAGACTTGGCCGCGGAGCGTTGTTCGATGACCTACCGAGCCCCCGAGTTGTTCCACGTCGAGAGTTATTGCGTCATAGACCAACGAACAGACATTTGGGTAAAAAACCCAATTTGTGGAAAAAATAAATATGTTACTCTTGTAGAGTCTTGGGTGTCTTTTGTTCGCCCTGTGCTACTTTAAGTCACCTTATGATTTGGTTTACGAACGCGGCGATTCAGTCAATTTGGCTGTCATTTCCGGGACTGTCCATTTTCCCGAAGACACGCCCTTTGACGAGGTAAGAGGCGGGGCTTGTGTTAACCCCACCCATTGAATTTTTCTAGGACGTCCACGACTTGATTTTATTCATGTTGAAAGTTAATCCGTCTGAAAGGCCTTTCATCGACGGCGTCATTGAAAAAACGCGCCATTTGCAAAACAAAATCGAACCAGTTGTGTAATTATTTATTTTTCTACATATTATGTAAATACACTTTATAAAATATACAAGTTTTTACACAATTATTATTTACGTTTCCTCACTCACAATTATTGAAATATTGTGACCTTGTAATTTCCCACTTTTCACGTCACTTATAGCTTGACGCAACTCCTTTAAACTTACAACACCAATCAGACGACCGATCGTGGTGACGTAGGCGGTGTTTATACCGACCAATGAAAACAACGAATGGACCTTGAGGAGGGACGTACGCTCCACGAGTTGAAACGGGGCGGGGTCTATGTGACACAAGCGGAAATCGCACGGTTTCTGCATCTGGAAGCGTTCCCACCGTTTCTGGGTCGTGGGGGACAAGTCGCAGACGCGCTTATTCGGCTAATAAAAAAATGGTTTTAGTGTTTTAATTAAAAAAAATAAACTCAAAATCACAACTAGCGTCCCACATGCGACGCCTATGGAAGAAAATCAACCAATCAAATCACAATAGTAACTATGTTACCATGGAAACGTGACCAAGATTTAAAAAAAGTCATAGGCGTCCGGGTAATTTTTTAAATTGTGTTTGTAACTGAATTAATATTGTACAAATTCCAGTTTAATAAATAATATACACATACAGAGTGTTTTAATTTGTGCAAAATTGTCAAATAGCAAAAAATTGGTTAAATAGTTGTTTTGTCGTATACGAACCAATTTCACTGATTTTGGCCTTGACTTGGGTTCGTAAGGGTCCTCATAGGCCGGATTGTAAGTAAACTTGTCCTCGTCACTACTTGACTCGTCACCATCTTGTGTTTTAAATTGCTCAGATCTTGTTTTTTTTAGTTCGTTTTGTTCTTCTTCATTCAATTCTTGCAATCTTCGATGTTTACCAACCTGTCTTTCAATTAATTCGATTAATTGTAAACGTTGTATAGACCCTAAGAGAATAAGTCTGATCGGGTTATTAACCAACGGAAAACTCTTAATTTTTTTGTTGTCCTTGAGAAGGTTTTTCAATTGTTCAAAAGGCATTCCGTGGTAGATATATTTGACGTCTGTGATCATAAAATCCTCCACATACACACTGTATATGGCTACAATAAGAAAATTAGAATATGTACAGGGTGTTCCGTCTAAACCCCACATTAGAAGTATTGGGAGTTCGAATAATGGTATTTATTTCAAAATTGGTACATAGCCATACTACATTAAGTCCTCCTAAATGAAAATATTTTCAAAATGGCGGCACTTCCGCTTATACCGGAAGTCGGCCTCAACTTTCTTATTTTAAATGGAAAGGTATATTTTTTACTGCGTTTTTAGATTAATCGTGGTATTTTAAGGGAGTTTTCATCAGCTTTCCCTAAATTTAGCCGTTTTTGAAATATTTGCAGTTTATCAAAAATTTTTGGATCTGCACCTTACACTTTAAAAATTGGTAATTCTGCCATTTTTTAAGATTTTGAATTCGTTTTTTGGCGTTTCAAAGAGAAAGCTTAGATCCTTTTTCTGGTGTTTTCAAATTTTGAAAAAAAAAATAATTCAAATACTCATCTCATTTTTTTTAAATGAAATACCCTAATTTTTATTTTACTAAATAGAAGAGAATTTAATTGTGCATTGATCTGTATTAACATTCCCTATACCTAAATTTAATAATTTTCAAGTAATGGACTTTTTGTTAAGATTACAGAAAATTTATTACTTGCCACACCCGTTTTCACATAGTTTACTATGGAAATCAAAAATGTCAAAATTTTCTCTAAACAAACGTCAACAGTAAATTACTATTTGACAAATAGTGCCAAAATATGAAGAATCAAAGTTATGCAAACTTATTATTATTGATAGGTTCTACCATGCGATCATTATTTTAAAGCCAACAAGTGAAAAAAATGTATTTTTATTTAATGAACGACATCATAATTTTGTTACACTCTCCATAAATACAAAATAAATTAATTAAATCTAAGTTTGAGTAGCTTTGACTCTCGATATTTTGGCACTATTTGTCAAATAATAAGTCACTGTCGACGTTTATTGAGAAACAATTTTGACATTTTTGATTTCCATAGCAAACTATACGAAAACGAATGTGACAAGTAATAAATTTTCGGCAGTCTTAACAAAAAGTCACCATAGCTTAAAAATTATTAAATTTAGGTATAGGGAATGTTAATACAGATCGATGCAGAATTAAATTCCGTTCCATTTAGTAAAATAAAAATTGCGGAATTTCATTAGAAAAAATTGAGTTATGGGTATTTGAATTATTACAAAGGTAACCTTAAAATTTTAGGATTTGTTAATTTTTTTTCAAAATTTGAAAGCACCGGAAGAAAGATCGAAACTTTCTCTTTCAAACGCCAAAAAAACGAATTCAAAATTTTAAAAAATAGCAGAGTTACCTATTGTTAAAGTGGAAGGTGTAGATCCAAAATTTTTTGAAAAACTATAAATATTTCAAAAACGGCTAAATTTAGGTATAGGAAAAGTAAATCAAAACTCTCTTAAAATGACCCGATTAATCCAAAAACGCAGTAAAAAATATAGCTTTCCATTTAAAATAAGAAAGTTGAGACCGACTTCCGGTATGACCGGAAGTGTCGCCATCTTGAAAATATTTTCATTTAGGAGGACTTAATGCATTATGGCTATGTACCAAATTTCAAACAAATATGATTATTCGAACTCCCAATACTTTTAATGTAGGGTTTAGACGGAACACCCTGTAGATTAGTACCGCTATTCCTGGGCAACATGTCGGGCAAATAGGGCAACTTCTTCGCCTTGATCGCGCTATCATACAGCCCTGACCCACATAACTGGGCTATACTATTCGAAATGAGGTTAGCAATCAAAATGGGGATCACGTGTGTGATTTGACTTGTCATTTCCAGCACTAGCACCCCCACACACATCGTTTGTGTGACAGCCCCGCTGAAAGCGGCCGCCCCTACAAGGGCATAGCCCCCTGGAACAATCCTCGTGATCCGGCCGTAGTAGCTGAGCCCTGTGGGGTACCACGTGTTCATCAATTCGCCCAAAATGCGCCCTGCGGCAGCCCCGATGCGGAAAACAGGGGCGAAGCTTCCATTTGGGATGGGCATTGTAGCCGAGATGATGTTACAGACGAACTGTAAAAAAAGTTGAGCACGAGTTGTATACATTTTTTTTCTTGGGTACGTTAAATGCGATGAGACAGACGAGGTGGAGGTAGGGACCGGTCCAGGGGGTTTTCCATTGGTTGACGATATCTTGTTGGGCGACGGTGAGGTTGGGGGCCATCCACGAGAAGTTGGCAAACATGTGTTTTACTTGGACGGCGTAGCCGAGGTGGCCGGCCATGAATTGGCCAATGCCGGGGGGGAAGTTTATGGAGGCCACGACGAGGGAGATGAAACCGGGGTAAACAAAATGGCTGAAAATTTTTATTAAAGTGGCAACTTGGTGCTATAATTTCTCTTAATTATTTTCAAAAACTTCAAATCTTGTATTTAATTTGGAAAGTGCTTAAAAGAAATGAAATTTTTAAGTTGCCAATTTACAATTAATCAGTTTTCTTCAATATCTCAAAAAGTATGAGTTGTAGAGAAAATTTAAGAACAGATTCTGAATCCTTGGATAATTTTACATAAGATAAGCTTAATATTAAAATGCACAAGTGTTTAACATAAATACCAGAAATTTTTAAAAGACATTTTTTAAGTTGCCAATTTACCATAATACAATTTTCTTCAATATCTCAGAACGTACAAATTGTAGAAACAATTTAAAATCAGATTCTGAATCTTTGGTTAATTTTCCACATTATGAACCACTTTGAAGATAATCAAGCATCTAGTTTCGATCTTAATTTTGTTTTTAAATCATTCAAAATTTGAACTTTCCAACACTACATTAAATTTTCTTTCATATCTCAAAAAGTAGAAGTCGTAGAGAAAATTTAAGAACAGATTCTGAATCCTTGGTTAATTCTCCATATGAGAATGATAATTTCAAGATAATGAAGCATCTAAAATTTGGATTCTAAATTATTTTAAAACTATTCAAAATTTTAAGGCCACGACGAGGGAGCCGGGGTAAACAAAATGGCTGAAAAATTTATTAAATTGGCAATTTAGTGCTATAGTTTCTCTTAATTTTTTCAAAAACTACAAATCTTGTATTTAATTTGGAAAATGCTTAAAAGAAATGAAATTTTTAAGTTGCCAATTTACAATTAATCAGTTTTTTTCAATATTTCAAAAAGTATAAGCTGTAAAAAAAAATTGAGAATAGATTCTGAATCCTCGTTTAATTTTACATAAGATACGCTCAATTTCAAAATGCCCAAATATATAATTTAACACCAGAGATTTTTTAAAGACGAACTTTTAAGTTGCCAATTTCTAATAATTCAATTTTCTTCAATATCAGAACCTACAAATTGTAGGAACAATTCAAAGACAGATTCTGAATCTTTGGTTAATTTTCCACATTATAAACCAACTTTCAAGATAATCAAGCATCTAGTTTGGATCCTATTTTTTTTCAAAATTATTCAAAATTTGAACTTGCCAACACCATATTAAATTTCCATATCTCAAAAAGTAGGAGTCGTAGGAAAAATTTAAAAACAGATTCTGAATCTTTGGTTAATTCTCCATATGAAAAACATAATTTCAAGATAATGAAGCATCTAATTTGGATTCTAAATTATTTTAAAACCATTCAAAATTTTAAGTTGCCAACAGAACATTAAATTGTTTTCGATATCGCAAAAAGTAGAAGTCAAAGAAAAAATTTAAGAATAGATTCTGAATCCTTGAATAATTTTCCATATGATAAACTTAATTTCAAACTGCACAAATATTTGATTTAAGTATCAAAAATTTTTAAAAGACAAACTTTTTAAGTTGCCTATTTTTAATTAATTCAATTTTCTTCAATATCTCAAAAAGTAGAAGTCTTAGAAAATATTTAAGCACAGATTCTGAATCCTTGATTAATTTTTCACATAAGAAACTTAATTTGAAGATAATCAGTCATTTAATTATGATCCTAAATCTTTTTAAAATCATTCAAAATTATAAGTTGCCAACACAACATTAAATTTTTTTCTTCATATATCAAAAAGTAGAAGTCTTAAAAAAATTTTAAGAATAGATTCTGAATCCTTGCATAATTTTCCAGATTATGAATTAATTTTCAAGGTAATTAAGCATCTAGTTTGGATCCTAAATCTTTTTAGGAGCAATCAAAATTTTAAGTTGCCATCACAATATTAATTTTTTTTCAATATCTCAAAAAGTAGAAGTCGTAGAAAAAATTTAAGTACAGATTCTGAATCCTTGGTTCATTTTTCGCATTGGAAACATAATTTTAAACAATCAAGCGTCTAGTTTGGATCATAAATCCTTCCAAAGTCATTCAAAATTTTAAGTTTCCAACACAAGATTTTTTTTTTTCGATTTTTAAAAAAGTAGAAGTCTTACAAAAAAATTAAGTACAGATTCTGAATTCTAACATAATTTTTCACATTATGAACCAAATTTCAAAGTAATGAAGCATCTAATTTGGATTCTAAATCTTTATAAAAACATTCAAAATTTTAAGTTGCCAACCCAACATTAAATTTTCTTCAATATCTCAAAAACTATAAGTCGTAGAAAAAATTTAAAAACAGATTTAGAATCCTTATCCAAATTCCCACATTTTAAACCCACTTACTTGGCTTTCTTGATCCTCGCCACCAATTTACTTCCCTTGATAAACCTCCCGAATTTGATCCTCATTCTCATATAAAACGCCGCCCCAAATCCACAAATAATCCCCAAAATACTAAACGCGAGTAATTCCTGCGCCGCCCACGGCGTATCCACAAAAAAACTCGTTTTAAACACCGCCGTCACCGACTCCACCCCCTCAATCCACACATACAAAAGTCTATAAAACGTAGCCCCCCAAACCGCCGCACAGAAACCCCTCCAGTAATTCCTAACCCCGTAGTACGCCGTCGTGATCTCCACACTGAGGAGGACTCCCGCAATGGGGGCCCCGAACGTGCATCCCACCCCCACGGCCGTCGCCGCCGCCAACATCTCCAATTTGCGACTCTCGTTCTGGTAAATCCCCTGGAAGGTGGTGATTTTACCGATGAGGTGGGCGCAGCAGCAGGAGATGTGCATGAGGGGGCCCTCCTTGCCCAGGGGCATGGTACTGCCGAGGGTGGAGGTGATGCCCACCACTTTGGCGATGAGAGTGTTGAATGAGAGGAAGTCGGGGATGGGGACCCCACGGAGGAGGGTTTTCATCTCGGGGATGCCCGAACCGACGGCTTTGGGGCCCACAAGTTTCACGAAGCCGGCACTGAACATACACAAGGTCACTGGAAGGGCGATCCAAGCGAAGTACTTTGCCCAAGGGTGGCCGTTGTGGGCAAGGGGGCCGTACAGCCACATACGACCTAAGAAAAAAAAAATTCTCAGAAAAGCTTCCAATTTCTGAAAAAATTCCTAATTCGTCTTTTGGAAAATAAATTTTTTTAAAAAAATATACAGGGTGTTTTTTTAATATTGTAAAAAATTGCAACCACACATTTTACTTCGAAAAATAACACTAATTTATTAAATAAACAATTGTCGTATAAAGCTTCGTTACGAAGATACAGGCCGATAAAGTTTTATGAAGCCAAAACGTACGCCACTGGAAATTTTTATTTTTTAATTTTGATTATAATTTAATATTAAGAAAACACCTTGTATATTTAGATTATAATTTTTCGAATTAATTAATTAAATTAAACAAGCCCAAGAGTGGCCATGGTGAGCCAGGGGGCCATACAACCACATGCG